GTTGAAAGTTATCTTGAGAAGATGGTGAAGGGAGGAGAAAATAGGGCTCCAATTAATCAGCAAAGCAGTAAGTCATCAATTTGAAAACAATTGAGTATATAGGGCAAGTGGAGCATATATGCTGCACAGGCCAGACATCAGCTAGCTAATAAGCCAATATGTGCTTGAGAGTTATACTTTCATATAGGCTTACCATATCATTTGTCTGAAAATTCTCTATCATACTTAGTTTTACCCCTTTTTTAAACTGGGATAACCACTTCCAAGAAGATGCAGTAAAATGTAAAGACCCAGTTCTGTGAGGTCCACTGAAGGTAATGGGAATTAAAACCATGTTTTCAAAGATTCCCAGAACTTTGCAGGATCAAGTCTCTGATGGACTTGGATGGTGGGAAAAGCTACTGCTGAACTAACCTTTTATTCCCATTAAGACAATCCAGAGAGCTACCTGAAAATAATTCCTACCTCTACACAATCAGGGTCTCTGAAATCCTGGCCGCACTGCAATAAACCAAAATTTTACCACTGTTTTCAGTGGAGCCAAGGTTTTGCTCTGAAGCCATAATTCACTACTAATGGGGACAACAGTAGAAACAGTAGTGTAGAAAGGGTTTAGGAGAGTGATTTGGTGGTAAGCACCCCTGTGTCCTATTTGGTTAAATCGTTCTCCACAAACAATCCTGCTGGAACAGCATGGCATTGGACAAAATGACTTCAAGGTCCCTTCCAGCTGTAGTATAATGTGGAGTGGACAAGCATGGCCCAGGCCCCACACACCGCATAAAGGGAGTGGTGCCAGGAGGGAGGAATAAGGTACATCTCACTCTCCCATGCCTTACTCGATTTGCACTTCCCAGATGCACATTGCAGCAGCTTAAGCAGTGTGTCATGAGGCACAAAGCATTCTGGGAATTGTAGTTATATAGCATGGCAGTGGAGTTTGCCACTGCTGGGGGGAAATGGGGGTAGGGAACTGACCCCAGTTTTTCCCATCGAAATTAGTAATTGTTTTGCCCTCCCAACATGGGTTTTGATGGCAAAAAAAGAGGATGAAAGTCCCACCCCAACCCCCAACATGGCGCCAGGGGACTGGGAGTCGGGCACCAGGAGGGTCAGGGGATGTGGGTCAGGACAGGCTATGGATCTTTGCAAATGGGTCCCAGTAGGAAAAAAGGTTGAGAACCACTGGTATAGAGCATCGTAAGTAGAATTTTTGCTACCTGTATTAAAACACTAACTCACAGTGACAGGCCAGTTACACAAGTGAAAATGCAAACTAACCACCCAAAAATAAATCATAACTTAGCCCAAAGTGTTTCCCTTAGAATCTGAGTATGTTAACCTTGTGGGTTCTGCTCCCTTTTGGGGTCTCTGGTGTGCAAGCTGGAGGAGCTCCAGGCCACAGTCCAGAGACTGTGTGCCATCAGGGACTGTGAGCAGGAGATAGACTCCTACTGCCAGGCCCTTCTCCCCCGGGAGCCAGAGAATAGTCCATGGTCTCCCTCCAGGACAAAGGAGGACTCCGGGACCTCCCACTCTGTCCAGTCAGGGGCATGGAACTAAGTGGTAAAGGGCCCTAAGGCCTGCCACACCAAGGCCTCTGCCCCGCCGGAGCTTAGCAACAGGAAAGAGCCTCTTGCTGCTCCAGCAGAGCCTGCTGAGTTGCCAGCT